GCTTCTATAGTTAATTTCCTTCCAAATGGAGTTAGAGGCTTTGAGTACGGAGACCCGGAGTGTGCGTGTGTGTGTGTGTGTGTGTGCGTGTGTGTTTATTTTCGTTAGTCAATTGTTAGATTCTCCAGTGTGAGAGCTAGATTTTTGTTATAGGTAAGCTTATCTCCTTCACTAATTTGGTGGAAAAAAGTTTTACTAGGAACTAGCTGAAATACAGGATTGTAACCACCTCCTGAAAAAAATTCAAGTTTTGTTCTGAATTCTTGTATGAACAAATCTTGTTGTTATTAATTAAGATTTCAGAATGCATGGTCATGATGAATTCAATAAGTGTGGTTGCATTTGCAGGGGTACGCAGCTAGAGAATTTGCAAAACAGGGAGTTAAGCCTGGTGAACTGGCTATTATCTCCAAAGAGGCGGTAAGTATTTCGAACTGCTTTCTTGTGTTCACTAATTCAATTGTAAGTCGTAGTTGTGCTGCTGCATCTGTGGACTTCAATTTGGAGAAGGGTGCATTCTTTTGCTTTTAGCTTGAACCTTAAGAGTAGGTTTTAGGATAAAAGGTTATTTTGTCTCTAGATTTACCTTGATATTCCAATTAGTTTTGTCTATAAGAATCTCTATATTCTATTATATTGACGTTGGAAGCTAATTTTTCATCAGCTTATATGCTTGTAAATTGTCAAAAAGCATTCATTCATGATTTCATTGCAAAAGTATAAGATTGTCAAAGTCCCTTTGATATATGTTTGTCAACTAGGAAAGAAAAAGCTCCTTATCCTCTGCCATTTGCTTGTAAACTTCTACCATCCTTGCTTTTGGAGTTCCTGATCCCACCTCTGTTATCCCAGTGCGCTAGGCTATGCCTCTCTCTCTATGTATCTCTTGGATGAATTTTGTTGCAACTTATCTACTCTTACGACCATTCCTTCCTGCTCAGCCTGCCTAAACTTTGTATCTAACCATCTTTCCTTTTTTCAGGAAATTAGTGTTAGATCTGATCTGATAGACTAAAAATGTTTTTTTCTTTGTCAGGTGGCTCCTTATGAACGTCCTGCACTTAGCAAGGCATACCTTTTTCCCGAAGGCAAGTCTTCTTTTAACTTGGACAGTGAATTGATCTCTGTCTATGGTAAAACTTGAATAGCGGTTGTTTTAGATGGGATTACAGAAACTGCATGTTATATTTTTTCAGAATTAAAAGTTTTTACACACACACACAAAAGCACTTAATGCGTTTCACTCACATATTTTTTGTATACTAATCACTGCTTCCCGGACAAGCAAAGAAAAAGAAAAAATAGAAAGTCAAATTGAGCATGATATATTATACAGATATTATCTCATGTAGTTTGGCATAAAATTCTATGTCAAAAAACTGCTGGCTCTCTATTTTTCTTGGTAGTTGACCTCTTTATCAGGTTTTTCTTGACACCTTATTATCCATTTCTCTACCAGGAGCTGCAAGACTCCCAGGGTTTCATGTGTGCGTTGGAAGTGGGGGAGAAAGACTTCTTCCTGAATGGTATGCAGAGAAAGGTAATAATTTCCTTGTGTTTATGCATTATTTGCAGACATATGGCCATGCAGGACTTATGTCAAATTTTGCATAACAGTTGTACATCTGGTTGAAGACACATTTATTATGAATCTTAGGCTACATCTCTTATGCATCATATGGTCTCATCTTGCAGGCATATCATTGATCTTGAGTACTGAAATAGTGAAAGCTGATCTTGCTTCAAAGACTCTCGTTAGTGCAGCTGGGGAATCTTTTACGTATCAAACACTTGTTATTGCAACTGGATCAACTGTGAGTCTCATGGAATTTGTTTTGTTCAGTGTTATTACTTTTTGTCGCCGGCCATTACATGAACTTCTCGTTCTCTGTCTGTTCAGGTTCTCAAGTTGTCAGATTTTGGTGTGCAAGGTGCTGATTCCAAGAACATCTTCTACTTGAGGGAAATTGATGATGCTGATAAGCTTGTGGAAGCAATAAAAGCTAAGAAAAATGGGAAGGCTGTAATTGTTGGGGGAGGGTACATTGGACTTGAGCTTAGTGCTGTAATGAGACTGAACAACATTGAAGTCAGTATGGTTTACCCAGAACCATGGTGCAGTAAGTAAATTGCTTCTAGTCCCCCCATTGTATGCATAACATGAAACATTAAATCGTTTCATGATAGATATGGAGAATATATTATCCTGATCAATTGGATTCTAATCTTACAGTAATCCTTATGCTTTTGCAGTGCCTCGGCTTTTCACAGAGGGCATAGCTGCATTCTATGAAGGTTATTATCAAAATAAGGGAGTCAATATCATCAAGGGTACAGTGGCTGTTGGATTTGATACACACCCAAATGGAGAGGTTTTTCTCAAGACCGCACCACTTTGAGAAATCTTGTTGAGCTTCAAAACATTACCTCACAGCATACTTGTTTCCAATTTGCAGGTGAAGGAAGTCAAACTTAAGGATGGTAGAGTTCTGGAAGCTGACATAGTAGTCGTAGGAGTTGGGGCACGACCACTCACGACTTTATTCAAAGGGCAAGTTGAAGAGGAGAAGGGTGGAATTAAGGTGTGTGCTCACTTTTCAGTCTCATCCTTCTATTAAGTTCTGAATTTTTCGTACTTTTATTCTGAAAAGCGGATTATTTTTGTTACTTTCACGGTTAAAGCATTAAAAAGTTTTAAGTATAAGCTTCAAAAGTAGATGAGAGCAACTGAGATGATTCGTTGAAGGAACAAATTAAATAATATCAAATCAATGGATTCCAAAAATTCTGATGCTGCCTTAGGCAAGACGAAGAAATGAAGTAATTATACATGAGAATTGTATTAAATAGTGGAAATCCTTGACCTTCTTGATAAGGAAACAACACATTTTTCTTGTCCAACTAAAAGCTGTGTGTTCTTGTCGAGCTAAATGTATGTATGTTGTCTCTATTAGAATGACAATGCATTATGTCATGTTCCGATTGAACTTTCTGAATTGCTATACTTACGCCAAAGCTTCTATTTGCAGACAGATGCATTCTTTAAAACAAGTGTACCCGATGTATATGCTGTGGGTGATGTTGCCACTTTTCCTTTGAAAATGTACAATGACATTAGAAGAGTTGAACATGTTGATCATTCTCGCAAATCTGCTGAGCAGGCTGTCAAGGTATGTGACAGCTCCCTCATGTGGTCCACAGTTAATGTGAAAGTGTTATATCATCATCCTTCTTACAACACGTTATTCTTTTACTGTCAACTCTGACTTTGCTCTCATGATATAAACTGGATATTTGAAGCACACTAGACGTGTAGATTAGGGTGTTCAAATACTGAAAAACTCTCTCCACTCTACTTGCTACTGGTTGTTTATGTCCTGGCTCCTGTGTATATTTGTAATAGCACGAGTACAAATATGTGACAGTACAATGTTAAAATTACACTCTCCCAGGCCGTCGTTTTCAAGGTACATGTTGTCCAAGTATTTTTGAGTTCAGCAGATCTTTTCCCCGTCTTTTGCTTCCACTCTATAACTTCTTAGAACAACTCAGTCAAATGTAGTTACAATTCCTGAACTTCACATTTTTTTCATGGTGAAGTAAAAAATGTTAATGTTACTATGTTTTGCTCGTGCAGGCAATTTTTGCAAATGAGCAAGGGAAATCTATTGATGAATATGACTACCTTCCATACTTCTACTCCCGTGCCTTCGATTTGTCTTGGCAATTCTATGGTGACAACGTGGGCGAAACAGTGCTATTTGGGGATGCTGATCCCAACTCTGCAACTCACAAGTTTGGACAATACTGGATCCAAGATGGAAAGGTTGTTGGCGTATTCCTAGAGAGCGGGACTCCTGAAGAGAATAAGGCAATTGCCAAAGTTGCAAAAGTTCAGCCCCTCGTTAGCAGTTTGGATCAATTGGCACAGGAGGGCCTCAGCTTTGCCTCGAAGATCTAAAGCTTTACTTAATATTGGATTAAAAACGGCTATTTGAAGTTTCTGTCTTCGTACAATGTTGTAATTGAATGATACTTTTTTCGTGGCTGGTTGATTGATTAAATATAATGTTTCTTCATCTTGAGTTTAGTTGCAGAAGATCACCCTCTAAGGGACTAGCCATTTAGGCATATATCTACCTAAGGAGTGACATCTGTAAATAACAGAATGTTGGATACAATGGCTTTGTGAAATACTCTTCTCCAGAAAATATGAGCATCTATTTAATTGATTATGCATATCGAATGAAAAACAAAATCACTTTGATTATGCTCAAAATGAGCACTACTCCCTCCATCATATTTATGTGATACTATTTCCTTATTAATTCGTTCAAAAAAGAAAGACACCTTTCTACATGTAGAACTAATTTAATTGTGAAATTTTCATTTTCCTGCTTAATGGCAGGTTTTATAGGCACAGAAACTTCATGGGCATGTTTAAGATGATTTCAAAAGTTTTTTTCTTTCTTAAACTTCAAGATGAGTCAAAACTACACCACATAACTTGAATTGGGAGAGTAATAAACTAAGTATGACATGATATAAACTGACATCTTGTTAATACATGAAAATATATATGTATATTTTTTTGGGCTAGTAGCACCTTCGACATATTGTCGTAATTCTAAAGGTATCTCAATTCTCAACATCATTGTGAAGTTAACTGCAGACTCTGCTTAGTCTTGGTTTTATCCTCAGCAGCAGCCACCAAACCAACAAAACATCCTCACTCTAATGTTGCTTCTCTGCCTCTGAAAGTCACGGAAATAACTGTATTACTCTTCCATAGCTAGCGATGCAGCATTCACATCACAAGTGAAGCTTCAAACGTTACAGAAACCACCAACTCCTCTCTGGTTTTTTTCTCATCTCACCTTTGGCAGTAATTTTTTTGAGAATGGTAACATTATATAAATATAAAACAGCACAAAGTTTGTGCTGCTAAAAGTGATCCTTGTAAGTTTTTGTAGTGGCGGGATTCTTTTCTTTTTTGGGGATGTATTCTATGATATCAAGTATGGAGTTACTATCATTTACAGGGCATTCTTTACACCAAAAAAGAAAAAGCACTAAACAGTTCATTTTGATTTTCTGAATGGAGTTGCTAACATCCTCAAAACATCTAGAGTTCCTCTCGTTCCAGACTGACCACCAAATGCAGGCTGGGATCTTCTGCCGCCATTTCTTCTGTCTGACTCCACCTGTCACACCAGCCCAGCATCTCAAGAGGTCGGATGTATATTTTGGCATAACCCAGTTCATTCGGATGTATCTTTTGGCAGTAATCTAATAGATAAATGAACAACTCTATAAAGTGTCTTATCAAGAGTAAATATGTGCCAGCATTAATCTTGAGCTGTTTCCTCTTCATCTTGAGGACTCTAAATGCCTATTAGTAACTTTTACCAAAGGTACGAGCATCCTTGCCACAGCTTCAAATAATTTACCAATGCGTAGGCCAGTATCTTGGAGCTTTATACAACCAACTTTTCTTCATCTGGTCCGGGAACAGCAACATCTTCCCTCATCATGCAATAGTAATCATCTCCAACCTGTGCTCCAGCTTGACTAAACAGTTCAACGACTGCAGGTAACTTTCCGTAATACCTCTTTAAAGAATCAATCAAAAGATGGCCAGCATGTGGGTTTCGGACATGCCAAACATAAACGGTGGAGAGAAGATCATCTATTGTTGCCTCTTGCCAAGCATGTTGTCCATCCCTCATCTGGTGCTTGAATGCTTGGCATTGCCTAACCCTATGACCTTTTGGCCCAACCTGCACCTCAGGACAATATCCACATGTTTGTACGGCATACGTTTGCATGAGCTGTATGACTCCGGTACGCATACTCTCCCAAGCTTCCATTCCTCGCATTGCGAATCCTGGAGAAGGCATATATAAGTTGCGGAAAATGAAAACTAGAAGGATTCATCATACCATAAGCAATAGTTCTTTAACATACTTGATGCTCGTGAGAGGAAATCACTTGCAATGTTTTTCAATATCGGAAAATCCACATTGCAAAATGGAAAGAATTTGAAGAGAAACAATTGAGAAAGTAACATAAAGACGCACCTTTTATGTCATCGTATGGTAAATTCAAATATTTTCCATCTCCATCTGGCTTCTTAATAGTTTCCCTAAATTTAGAAGTTTCTAAGTCCTTTCCGGATAAATCATCCTTGGGAAACCTCTTCTCAAAATCTATGAGTTTTCCAGCAACCCGGTAAATGGGGAACTTCCTTCTTCGGGTTGGGTACTCAGGTAAATCCACGCCAGCCTGAATGCACAATTCCACAAGGGCTGGGATGCAATCAACTTCAAGTCGCTCATTATGTGAAACAGCTCTTCCCAACCTGTCATAGAGATGAAAAGATTCGACAACAGGCAACACGTGCTCTACACCCCCTCTCTGCCATGTATGCTCTTTGTTCTTCTGACTGCCACTAACGTCGCAAGTTCTGATCTTATGTGGTGGATGACCAACATGAACTTCACTACATACACTGCACAAATGGCCAGAGATCACAACATAAGCTTTATTTTAACAGTTGAAATTCACAGTGAGTTGCAAGATAATCTCCGATCAATTAACTAGGCCTCAATCCCAAAATCAGTAGGAGTCGGCTATATGAATCTTCTACACCCATCATGCTTTATTCAAGTCTATTTCATTTAAATACTAAATATCTTAATCTCACACTAATTGCCTACCGTGATTACTAGTTTAACCTTAACTAGTTGATATCGCCTTTAAAGATCATTTGCTCCTATTGTGTTACACTCTTAGCTACATCTACACAAGAATTAAGTAAAATGAACAGGAGTATCATATTTGACCATTATTACTCCAATCCTTAACCTACCACAACCTACTTTTTATTGGGACTTGAGATCGGCTATGCTCCACAAAGATATGCTCTACCAGATAATCTTATCAGCTATAGCTCAACAAATTTTTCATGCTTTTGTTCTAAATCATAGGTCCGCTATCAGAGGCGATCTACAGTGTAACCTATGGGTTGACATGAACCCAGTAACTTTTTCCCCAGAAAACTCTGTATATGTATTAAGAAATCCATAAAATATTTATAAGGGGCCGTTAGGTTTAGTAATCCTGAGGGGAGTTAATACCACCATTTTGGTATAACGATATTAGCTAATACCCACAGCCAAACATGAGTTAACTATAATCCCAAATTTTATACTGGGATCAATATCCTTATCCTGGTAACCAAAAGACACCTTAAATATTTGACTGTGAACCCACTTAGTATGGTATATTAACTTGATATCGCTATAGGAACCCATAAAATTCAAATCCTGGATCCGCCTCTATCCGTTTTACAGTTGATTAGTTGTGAGAAAGTTGGCTTAAAATGCAAGTGTTGGAGGGAAAATGAAATGTTACCTGCAAAAATAAATAGGAATATCCTCCGAAATCCTGGAAACACAGGCGAATAACAGGCCTCTGGAAGCTAAGACCTGATGAGCAAGTGGGATTAGTTCTTTAATTAATAGCCCATTTTCAGGTGGCCGCAATGGAACTTCACGTGCAACCCTTCTCTCTTGCTTGTCCAGTCTTGCTATCCTCTTAAGCTCATTCACACTAGTTACCATTGGTTTTCTTTCATCCCTTTTCAGTTTTCTTGGTAGCACTTCCAAGCCAGTTGAATAATACAATGGACTAACACTACTCAGCACCTTTACATTGGAAATTATTGTATTGGTACGAAGATTTAAGATTGACCCAAATCGTCTATAAGACATTCTGTTAGGCTACGAATTCGAAATACTGAAAATTTTAAAAGCTTACTTGGAATTTCATCACCTGGGCATTACAACAAACAGTTATTGTGCAGCTCAGGTTAGAAACTGTAACAGGAATAAGAAAGGAGAGGGGTAACTCAAAGAAAACGAAGAAGAGAAGGACGAAGATAGAAGAATTACAAGTACCAAAGAAGCACTGTAATTAGTTAAAGAGGACTTCTACAAACCAAATAGACACTGTAAGTCTTTTTTGAGTTAATCTTTTCCAAATCTTCCTAATTGGCATTAATTGGCAACAGTAATGATTAAATTGTAAATAAGAAAAGATAAATATACTTAAAAGAAATCTTTTATACCTCTATTATCAAATATTACTATTAGGACAAATTTATCTCCGCTGTTTCTGAATTTTAGAAAAGAGAGAGAGGCGAAATACTATCTCTTGCTTTCGCCATTTCTTCTTTACCGAATTTTATTGTGTCTGATGACATATTAAAATATAGATAATATTCGATAATAAGAGATAAATTTGACTATTTTACCTAATTTTAATGTGTCTGATGACAGATTAATTTATATAGCACAATCTTATTGTGGATGGGACTTCAAATTGCACCTAAATTTGGACATATTTTAGAATTAAAAAGGCTTCTAAGATCATGTCCCACTTGTGATATATAATTCTAATGTTAAACTAACATTATATATCCAATATGGCTCTTGACTTTCATATCCATAATTATAAATAAAGCATTGGTTTATTCTTCCCTGCGATAGTATTGCAAATTATTTTTCGAATATGTAGAAATATAATTCACAGTAATTTTGAGCCTTTTAAAGCCTTAGACTGAATGCTATACTATTTTTTTTCCTTTTATTTTTTTATTTTTCTCTGAGGCAGTCTAATTCATATGTAGCAATATCACTACTACACATTTTTTGTACTAGAAAATAAAAGAATAAATCTGCAAAATTCCTCAAAAACTTAAGCAGGGACCATCTTTCTACGTGGGGTCTTTATTTCTGTATGATATTCTTATGTAAATTGTATAACAAGTTGAACTTGCAGCAGCCACATTCTGTGATCTGTGTTAGAAGTTGAAATTCTATTTTGGCTTTTTCTTAGCTTCTTTCCTTAGATATTGAATTTTTTTTTTTTTTTCTTTACCTTTCTTAGAGATTTTGCGACAAATTCAAAACGCTAATTCTATTAGAAAAAATCACTAGATTACTGAACTTCTTTTGCATCTGGTTCGAAATACAGTGACACCCATACCCAAGAAAAATCCCTTACAAAATCAGGACATGAAACATTTTCTAGCCCCGAGCCATCGGCTTGTGGGTCTGGTTCCGAGCCATCGACTTGTGGGTCGGAGAAAGGGGCGTGCCATGATGAAACAAGGGAATGAAAGGAATTTTATGGCCAAATTCACAACCTATTTAATGCATCAATGTGACCCTTAATGGAGGCTGCTTTGGGTTAAATTGTTCACAACCTACTTGATGCTTTGATGTGACTCTCAATTAGAGATCGCTTTTGGTTAAACTCTTCACAACTTATTAACGAATATGACTTTTAAATTACAATTGTTCTTACTAAAGTCCGAGTTAATCCCGCTTAAGCGGCAGGAAGCCTATATTGATCTTTCAGTTGAGTCAATACAATAAGACGGATTACCTATATTATTACGTGCCTTTAACCCAAAAAAGAATGAATAGGCGCTTGAATGAACAAATTACGATGAGATCTTCAACATAAACTACAAAATAGACTTGAATACTTGTTTTCACATTGTTACACCGCACATCAGTATCAAAATTGACATCTTATATTCAGTAATCATCTGACAAGAGGGGATTGCTCAGATGGTCAGCATTAGGAGTGGTAAACGGGCAGGTCAGATATTTAATACGGATAAAAAATGAGTTAACCAGCGGATAATATGGATCCATGACTTCTTGAATATAATCGCTTTTGGGAGAATTACTAGTCTCCCAAACTTGACGAACCCCTAATTTAAGGCTTTACAAATGTAAAAAATAAAATCATTAGTTATCCATTTTCTAAACAGTTCATTATCCATCTCATTTTTTAGTGGATAATATGGGTGTATAACTGTTTTCTTTTTAACTATTTTGCCATCACTAGTCGCACCCAATCTACAATTCCGGGGTCCGTGCTTTCGAGTTATCAGAGGAGCAATAGCTCCAACAAAGGGGATCAAAGGGGAATAAAATAAAATGAGTAATAATCAGCTTAAAAATCTAAAAGATTTACCAAGCAATAGGCAATCTATTAGTATATGGTATTAGTGTCCAAATAATTAACGTCCTCAACGATGTACTCCTTTTAGGTATTAACATGTAGAAATACACAATTATTAAGATGAAATAATAAAGCAAAATAAAACCAAAAAGAAATTCATCTTTATGAAAATGAGAAGTTTGAAGTAATTTGGAAGCTTTTTCAACAGCTATTCTCTATTCTTAATCTGCAGCTAGAATTGGCTCTTCTTCTGTCTTCAACCAAAGCAGCACGAGCTGACATTATATTACTATTCATTAATGAAGCATCAAAAGCACTACAATCAATCCAATCTTTGAGTAGTTCCTCTTGACCCCATATATCTGGAATCCATACATGACCAGCTACTTCAACCCGATGTCTTTTCAATCTATCACGTCCATTATCCTCCACGTACGATTCGCCTTTGTTATGTCCACTTGCATGTTCCTTGACTTCTGGTCTTACCTGAACAGGGTTTTTCAGCACAGCTCCTGCATCGTTGAATTTATTCCTTTCGTCAGAAGTTGATTTTGACTCGTGATTTTCTTCACACTTCACCTCGTTTTTCTTTCCTAAACTCGGCCTTTGTGACTCGATCTTGTCATCGTTAGGGTTAGGAGTACTACTCTTGTGTTGTATCAAAAAGGATGAATTTTCGCATTGATTAGTCATGGAAGCTATATCGTTGATTTGTTGTTGTTGTTGATGATGTTCTTGTATGAAGTTGAAGCAAAAGAAAAAATGTTGTTGAAAGGAGAAATGATAGTTTCTCTCTTTTTTTTTTTTTTTTTTTTTTTCCTACTCTCCAAAATCAAGTATTGGAGCTAAGCTAAAGAGAGAATCTATTCTTGTGTTGGGGAATAATGCAAGAGGGCTTTATTATTAATTTTTTGTGTGGGAAGAAAGAAGCAAAGGATTGTAAATGGTGGGGTGATAGTTACCACGTCATGACCACAAAGTGGGCATTCTTTTGTATGGCAAGTGACAATTGTACGTGTCTTTATGTTGAGATTTCATTCTCAAATTGTGTGGTTTACTTCAAATCTTGAAAAATTATACCTAAAAAGAGAAGGAAAAAGATAGGCCTCTAAAAACTAAGGGGAATAAATACAGTGGATTTTTGGAAGATTGTGAGGTTGACGTTGATTTTAAGGGGTTTGTGGTGGGGCCGGGGAAATAGAGTTTTTTGGTTTTTCGTAGTCCGACTAAATTCAAATTCTCACCGGAAAGTTCCTCGTTGGGAGGTAAACGCTCCCTAACAAAGGCGTACTCACCAGAGGTAACCTGATGTAAATCCGAGACTGACCTCATGAGTACTTATCACTTAACCACAACTCTTGTTGGTTCAGGAATAAAGTTATTTCTAAGCTTTTTGGCCAATGACCATATAGAAATTGATAGTGGGTTTTGTGATTCACATTGTAGGGCTGCTTGTGAAGCTAGCTGTATCAATCATTTAATAAGATGGAGACTTGTTTGAAAGGGGTTGTGACGAGATATTTTATTGATGCAAAAACAACCACTCCCCTTTACATGTTTTGGACTTTTGTAGGTATTAAACTAAATTACGAAGAAAAAAATTTAAACTATCAGTATATATAATATCTCGTTTTATGTATTTCGTTTGAACCAACTAAAAGAGAGCATTAAGGATACATATGATTCTCTTGGTTTTCATGTCATATGATATGTATAGTTGGACCAAGCATATTTAAGAAAGACACAAATGGTTATCTTGGAGATAATTTTTCTCTTAACTAATTAAGCAAGAATATGAACAAAATACGTACATCCAAACACTCGCAATTGCATATTATAATACTGTTGTTTATGTATTTCTTTTTTATCTTGTCATCTGAACCTTGAGATTAGCAAACAAATATAGTTAATTAATTATTTAATAATTTCAACCTCTCCATTTTAGTATGTTTCAAAATATTTAACTTCATTACATTTCTATGTAACTTTTATAAATATAAAAAATTTACTCAAATTCCAATACCATTTTACAGAATAGAGTGAAGAGGTTCGATGATTATATGGCTCATGGCCGTTTCACAGGAAATCTTTATTTCAACCTGTATTTGTTCTTTATCTTTTTACGAAAAAATTATCTCGTACAATTTGAATAGAAGACAATAATTCGATGCAATTTTTTTATTTTTTATTACGTCATATTTACTGTTCTCTTAATTTGAGAGTCGTATAACTAACATAACATTTGTATGTGGAACCCCTCTTTTAACATGATAAGCAATTTTTGTTTTTACTTTGTCTGTATCTGCTCGACTAATAATTTAGAATGTGAAAATAATTATTACGTACCCAAGAAAACAAAATTCTAATCATGTTAGTTTTGGTATGTACCATTTTGGTATTGACTTTCAAATCAATTTCAATGTTATAATGAGACAACCTACCCCAACTCCTGAAGGAAGGCAACAAAAAAAAAGGAAGAAGAAAGAGGAGCAAATAAATATTTTGATGGCTCTAAAAATAAAAGAGGAGCAAAAAGAATTTGAAATAATTTATATATATATATATATATATATATATTTGTAATTTACTTTAAAAAAATTCATATTAATGGTGAAAGGAGAAGGAGTCTCTCTCTATATATATACACACACACATACTAGTCTTAAGCTACGCGCGTTGCGCGTATACCCAACTCAATAAGTATAAACTTTTTAAAATTATATAAATATTATATTAAAAATTTATACTCCATATTTAAATTATAAAATTTAAGAAAAAATGTCAGCTAAGTGAAGAATGTTAATTCAGTTAAATGAATAGCAATTTATCAATTTGACTCGTAATATTATACTAAAATTGATATTCCTCTTATTTTTTTATTTCTTTTGTTGTTGATTCTCTTCTTAAGGGAACAATTTACGTACCCTATTGTAATGACCCAATCGGTTATTTTGACTTTTAGAACCATGTTCCCCTAAATAAAACTTTATGTATGTGCTTTTATTAAGTTATGACTTGCGGGGATAGTTGGTTCGGGATTTGAAAGTGTTCGGGTTGAAATCGGAACACTTGGTTCCTTAAGTTGGTCTTAAAATGTTAAATTTGACTTCGGTCAATATTTTTAGAAAAATGATCTCGTAATAGAATTTTGATGATTCCAACAGTTCCGTATGGTGATTTTGGACTTAGGAGCGTGTTCGAAATTTTATTTGGAAGTCCGTAGTTAAATTAGGCTTGAAATGGCTAAAATAGAAATTAAAATTTGGAAGTTTGACCGGGGAGTTGACTTTTTGATATCGTAATCGGAACCCAGTTTCAAAAATTTTTATAGCTCGGTTATGTCATTTATGACTTGTGTGCAAAATTTGAGGTCAATCGGACTTGATTTTATAGGTTTCGACATCGAATGTAGAAGTTAAAAATTTTAAGTTTTATTAAGCTTGAATTGGAGTATGATTCGTGTTTTTTGCGTTGTTTGATGTGATTTGAGGGTTCGACTAAATTCGTATGATGTTTTAGGACTTGTTGTGTTTTTGGTTGAGGTCCCGAGGGACTCGGGTGAGTTTCGGACGGCTAACGGATCATTTTTGAATCTTGGGAGATAGGTGATAGCTGCTGGTATTTTTCTTCTGATTTTCTTATACGCGATCGCATAGGTTCATCCGCGATCGCGTAAGCTAATTTGGGGCAGAGGCGACTTTGTTCTACGCGATCGCGTGAAATGGTTTGCGATCGCGTAGGCTTGTTTGGGGCAGTGATGATTTTTGTTCTTCGCGATCACGTGAAAAGGGTCGCGATCACGTAGCTGTGGGAGTTTGTTATTCGCGAACGCGTGAAGAAGGTCGCGTTCGCGTAGAGTAAGTGGAGCAGAAGTAGAGGTCACACGTTTGTGCTTCGCGATCGCGTGGATAAGTTCGCGATCACGTAGGCCTGTAAGTTTGAGCTTCGTGAACGCGTGGACAAGTCCGCGATCGCGTAAGGTTAATTTGGGCAGTGAAAAAATTGTGCTTCGCGATCGCGTGAGAAGGTTCGCGATCGCGTAGAGCAAATGACTGGGCAGAGAGTTTAAGTTTCCATTTTCCATTATTACCGATTTGGAGCTCAGATTGAGGCGATTTTTGGGAGATTTTCAGAGAAAACAATGGGGTAAGAGTTCTTAACTCAATATTGGTTAAATTACCCGAATCCATCACTGTTTTTATCATTTAATTGGTGAATTAAGTTGAAAAAGTTTGAAAACCTTCTTGGATAAATTTGAGGATTTGAGGGCCGAATTATCATCGGGATTTAGTAATATTGGTATGAGTAGACTCGTGGTTGAATGGGCGTTCATATTTCATAATTTTTGTCGGATTCCGAGATGTGGGCCCCACGGACGATTTTTGAGTTAATTTCGAATTTTTATTAAAAAATATAGTATTTTCTTATGAAATTGATTCCTATAATTGTTTTGTGACTGTATCGAATTATTTTGGCTAGATTCGAACCATTCGGAGCTGGATAATCAAGGAAAAGGCCTACTAGTGGATTAAATTTGAGCAAGTCGAGGTAAGTCTCTTGCCTAACCTTGTAAGGAGAAAATTATCCCATAGGTGATTTAAATTAATAATTGTTGCTAATTGTGGGAGTTACGTATGTATGAAGTGACGAGAGTCCGTGCGTAGCTACTATTTATGCTAAAGTCCGGGTAGTTTAGGACTCAAATCATGAATTTCGTGTGTTAATTATATCCTTTATTTAATTAAAGTATTTGAACTATATTANAATAATAATAATTACACGATACCTTGATATTTTAATTGCTGCTTGTGAAGTTAATTAATAAATTAAAAATTATTGTATTTGAAGGAATTTAATTATTTCTGCTGGTTAAAGAATTTTTTAATAAATTCTATAAATCATGTTGATTTAAATATTTCTATTGTAATATTATTGACCCATAGTGAGTGTCAAAGTCGACCTCTCGTCACTACTTCTTCGAGATTAGGCTTGATACTTACTGGGTACACGTTGTTTACGTACACATGCTACGTTTGCTGTATTTTTTGTGCAGGACCTGAGATAGGTACTATCGGAGGACCCATCGGTGTGCACCCGCGTTATCCAAAGGCTTAGTAATGAGCTGCCCCTCTCTGAGCCGTTCTGAAGCAACTATGCCTCTTCTTGTATTTGTATTCTGTCTATTTTATTTCAGAAAGTATTTGGAATTTTGTATAATCTACTAGATGCTCATACACTTGTGACACCAGGTCTTGACACACACTAGTAGAATTTTTGGATTTAATTATTTTACTTGGGTTTTAACTTATTTATTTCTCACATTATCTTAATTTTTGCAAGTACTTCGAGTTTTATTACTCGAATAATTTTTAAAGAAATGAATATATGTTTAAATCATTAGTTGGCTTGCCTATCTGGATGTTGGGCGCCATCACGACCTATAGGTGAATTTGGGTCGTGACAACATGGTATTAGAGTACTAGGTTCACGTAGGTCTCACAAGTTATGAGCAAACCTAATAGAGTCTTGCGGATCGGTACGAAGACGTCTGTACTTATCTTCGAGAGGCTATAGGCTATTAGGAAACTACCTTTCTTCATCTTCCATCGTGCAATTTATGTAGAACTAAATATCTTTCTCTTATTCTCTCACAGATGGTGAGAACGCGCTCTAATGAGGTTCCAGACCAGGGAAGTGCTACTCTCCCTGTTGTTAGAGGCCGAGGGAGGGATCCAGCCCGTGGTAGGGGACGAGGACATCCCAGGATTGTTCCAGTTTTGCCACCAGTGGGTCCAGCAGAGGATCCCATTATTGAGGAACATGGCGAGGTGCCCGTGGCAGAGCCAGCTCCAGTGGATTTCACGTCTGCATCAGGATTCCAGGAGGTCATGGGCCGTATGCTGCGGTTCATGGACACTATGACTCAGGCCGGTTTATTTTCGGTAGACCCAGCCACATCTCAGGCAGGCG